GGGTTTTCAATTCTATTTCATTGGTCCTCAGGTCTGTTCTTGTGCCAGTACCAAGCTGTTTTGATTACTATAGCTTTGTAGTAGAGTTTGAAATTTGGTATTGATATTCCTCCAGCAATGTTCCTTCTGTTAAGGATTGTTTTTGCTATTCAGGGTCTTTTATTGTTTCATATGAATTTTTGGATTGCCTCTTCTATTTCCTTGAAGAATGAGCTTAGAATATTGATAGGTATTGCATTGAATTTGCAGATATTGGCTTTTTCTCATAAGTTTGGTGCTCTACCATTTGAACCACACCTTCACTTCTGGATTTTTGCTGGTTAACTACAGAAGAGTCTTGGGGATTTTTCTGCCAGGCTAGCTTTGAACTAGGATCATCAGATCTCAGCATCTCGAGGTTAAAATAAAAACAAAACACCTCTCATTGCTAGTGGCTCACACATGTAATCCTAGCTACTCAGGATCCTGAAATCTCAGATTCACAGTTCAAAGCCAGCCTGGGTGGAAAAGTCATTTACTCTTTTCTCCAATTAACCACCAAAAAGCTGTGGCTCGAATGGTATAATGCCAACTCTGAATGGAAAAAACCTAAGGAATAACACCCAGTTCCTGATACCCCAGTACTGGTTAAAAAGAAGAAGAAGAAGAAAAAAAAGAAACCGGTTCCAGAAGTGACTTATACTTTTTTTTTCTTTTTTTTTTTTAGTCAGTCATGAGACTGAATCTGGGCCTAGGTGTTGTCCCTCAGCTCTTTAGCTGAGTCAAGGCTAGTGCCCTACCACTTGAGCCACTTCCGGCTGTTTTCTTTTTGCTTATGTGGTGCTGGGGAATCGAACCCAGGGTCTCATTCATGCAAGGCAAGCGCTCTACCACTGAGCCACCTTCCCAGCCCCTACTTATACTTTTTGTAAAGAAAGGAAATTAGATCCTGAAAGTATTGCACTTGAAAAGAAATAGTCATCCTAAGGAAATAAATATGAAAACAAACCCTTTCCAACATATATAATTATCTATCTATCTATCTATCTATCTATCTATCTACGTTGTTGGTCGTGGGGCCTGAACTCTGGGCCTGGGCGCTGTCCCTCAGCTCTTCAGCTCAAGGCTAGCGCTCTACCACTTGAGCCACAGTGCCAGTTCCGGCTTTTTCTGCTTATGTGTTCTGAGGAGTCGAACCCAGGGCCTCATGCATTCAAGGCAAGCACTTTACCACTGAGCCACCTTCCCAGCCCCTCCAACAGATAATTTTATAACATGTACACAGCAGACTTGGGGATTTTGTGATCAAGATGATTTAAATTAAGTTCAGGTCAGACACATATTTCCCACTTCTGCTCCTCGCTATTTTAGCTCCTTTCTCCTCCCTGCCCATTCATTTACTCCCACAGCAGTAGTGGCTATCCAATATGTTGGTACCTGGCCATCACAGAGTTCAACCAGGGATACTCGTTCTCGACCTGCTTTAATGAGCTTGCTCTGGAACAGCTTGCCATCAAAGTAAATCCAGGGGCAACAATGTTCCCAAGGGACTGGCTGGCCACAGGCATCATTAGCAAATAGAGCTGTGTCAACGCCACTCATGAAGAGGGCAGCAAGCTGGATTCCTCGGGCATCTAGTTTCTCAATCTGAAAGTATGACAGAGGAGAAAATATTATTAAGAATGTACAAACAAAGAACTATAGATGAAACATCCCTAATCTGAAATCTTTTCTCCCCCTAGTACTGGAGATTGAACACAGTATACTTGCTAGGCAGGTAGTGAACCAGTTAAATCCTCTTGCTTTTAGTTATTTTTTCAGGAGGAGTGTCTTCTTGCCTGGGCTGACCTAGACTGATTCTTCTAACTTATGCCTCTTGCATAGCTAGAAGTGATAGGCATGTGTCACCATGAGCAGTGAAAAATCTGAAATATTTTGGAACATTGTATGCTCCAAAATCTGAAACTGTCTCAACACTGGCATGATATCAAAAGTGAAAAATTCCATACTTGGCCTCATATTGACTCTAAGCCAGGCATGGTGGCTCAAGCCTATAATCCTAGCTACTTGGGAGACAGAGATGGTTCCAGGCCAGCAGGGACATAATAGTTCATGAGATTCTATCTTAACTAATGGCTGGGTATAGTGGTGTGTGCTTGTCATCACCAGGTATAGCCCAGGCTAAAGGGAGACCTTACCTCAAAAGGAACCTATGCAAAAAAAGGAACCAATGCAATAAAGGACTAGAGGTGTGGCTCAAGTGGTAGAGCAGCTGCCTTGTGAGTGCAAGTATCTGAGTTCAATCCCCAGTATTGCCAGAAGAAAAAAGGGTTAATGATAATTTTACATATAATGGGGAAAAGTAGGAACAAAGTGACCAACATTATAATAATTAAATGATATATCCTGTGATAAAATATGTGCTAAAATTTTTTGGCACATAGAACATATGAAGTTCCTGCCCTAGCTTCCTGAGTGCTGGCATTATGAATGTGTGCTATTACATTTGGATAGATGCAAGTTTTCAAAATATTTTCAACCAGAGGTTAGTTGAATCTGCAGATGCAGAAAATTCAAGTAAAATTACACAAACAATATCTTAAATATTTAGAAGCACAATCCCTAGTACCACATACATACACATAAAAAGATTGAGAAAACAGCAAGATTTTCACAGTGGCATGTTAGACAGTTTAATAGGAAAAAAGTAAGTAATTGTAGTTCCTCTCCTAGGTGTGATCTGATGTAAGGAGCTACTCCAAGACCCAGTAATACTACATTTAGAACAGAAAGGAACAACTCATTATGTATATTATACACATGCATTATTTCTTTGGTTGAAATCCCTTAAAAGATTTTACAAGTCCTTGTGAGTGAGTGAGTGAGTGTGAGTGTGTGTGTGTGTTGCGGGCATGGAATATAAAGCCTTTTTACTTGTGTGTATTAGCACTAGGACTTGAACTCTGGGCCTGGGTGCTGTCCCTCAGCTCTTCAGCTCAATGCTAGAGCTCTACCACTTGGGCCAAGCACCACTTCCAGCTTTTTCTGTTTATGTGGTGCTGAGGAATCGAACCCAGGGCCTCATGCATGCAAGGCAAGCTCTCTAACACCTTCCCAGCCCCGAATCCCATGTATTTTAAGGCCACTTCTGGCCTTTTCTGTTTGTGTGGTACTGAGGAACTGAACCCAGGGCTTCATGCATGCTAGGCAAGCACTCCACCACTAAGCCACATTCCCAGCCCTCACCTTGCATTTTTTTTTTTGGTTCTGGTCATGGGGCCTGAGCTCTGGGCCTGGGCGCTGTCCCTCAGCTTTTCAGCTCAAGGCTAGTGCTCTACCACTTGAGCCACAGCGCCACTTTCAGCTTTTTTCTTTTTGCTTATGTGGTGCTGAGGAATGGAACCCAGGGCCTCAGGCATGCAAGGCAAGTGCTCTACCACTGAGCCACCTTCCCAGCCCTCACCTTGAGTTCTTGAAGTTGATCTGGTTCATAAAGTTGGGTAGATACTGCTTGTGCAAGAAAGGTGTCTAGCTCATGGCGATGCAGGATTCGGCCACCAGGCCACTGAACCATGTACCTAGAAAATAAAACCATCATGACTAAGTTAAAAATAAACCTTACAGTCGAGTGCTGGTGTTCATGCCTGTAATCCCAGCTACTCAGGAGGCTGAGGTCTCAGGGGTGCTATTCAAAGCCAGCCCGGCCAGGAAAGCCCTTGAGACTCTTATCTTTAATTAACCACCAGAAAACTGGAAGTGGCACTGTGGCTCAAGTGGTAGAGCACTTGCCCTGAGCTGAAGAGCTCAAAGACAGGAACCAGGCCCAGAGTTCAGGCCCCATGACCAACAAAGAAGAAAAAGAAAAGAAAAAGAAACCTTACATGTTTCATGTAACAAGCATTTAAGGACCTATCACCACGATAGTGGGCAACATGGTGTTATCTCAGCATGTGGGAGGCAGAGGCATGAGAACGGCGGGTTTGAAATCAGCCTGAAGTACAAAACAAATTCCAAATCAGCCTGGGACTCGTTAAAACAGCAACAACAAGGACTATGTTTGTAGCTCAGTAGAATAATGATTGCCTAGCACACACAAGGCCTCGGTTCCATACCTAGCAGCACACACACACACACACACACAAATCTGTCCCTGACTCAAGCCTAAGGCTAGATTTTTGCCACTATCCAAGATCTGATAACTTGTCTGGGTGCCAGAGAAGATAGGCAGGTCTATAAATGATAAATGACAGGACAGTGTATTAAATACCAAGAGTAAACAATGTACAGGATTTGGCAAGGTGCAAATGGCTGACACCTGTAATCTTCACTACTCAAAAGGCTGAGATCTGAGAATCATAGTGTAAAGCTAGCCCTGGCAGGAAAGTTTGTAAGACACTTATTTCCAATTAACCACCAAAAAACCGGGAGTGGAGCTGTGGCTTGTGCAAAAAAGTGTTAGCCTTGTGCAATAAAGCTCAGGGACAGCTCCTAGGCCCTCAGTTTGTGCTCCAAGGCCAGAACATACAAAAAAAAGAATGTACAGGATTTTATGAGCACAGAAAAATTCAATGAGTACAAAAATTCAGAAAGTCAAAGGAGGAAGTAACAATGCTCGATAGGAAATATACTCATTACCTTACTCATGTGACTGTAACCCTCTGTACAGTATCTTTACAATAAAAAATATATACAAAAAATAATAAAGAAAAACATTCAGAAAGAGTTAGATGCCAGTAGCTCACGCCTGTAATCCAAGCTACTCAGGGAAGCTAACATCTGAAGATCATGGTTTGAAGCCAGCCCAGGTAGAAAAGTCCCTATGAGACTCTAATCTCCAATAAACTACTCAAAAAAAAACTGAAAGTGGTACTGTGGCTCAAGTGGTAGCACAAAGAGGTTCAGGGACAGCACCCAGGTCCTGAGTTCAAGCCCCAGGACTGGCAAAAAAAAAAATCAGAGATAGCACACCATAAAGGTCAGCAGGATCTGAATTTCAAGGTGTCTATATAATTCAGTGAGATCCAGGATAGGAAAAAGCCATTCTAGATTGGGGAAAGAGTATGCACAGTATTGCTATAAGTAAGTATATTTGGATAGGAGGGAAGATTAGAAAGTAGCCCGGATCAAGAATGGTTTCCAAACAGTGTTATGGAACTTGGACTATTATCCTGGAATTGTGGAAAGACATGTAAGGATTTCAGCAAGACAGTGATTTTGACCAGTTTGATACTGACTGGCTCAGAGGGTAGGAGTTAAATAGGCATAGATATAGGCTGGGAGTATGGCTCAGTGGTACAGTGCTTGCCTAGCATGCATGAAGCCCTGGGTTTGATTCCTCAGTACCACATAAACAGAAAAAAGCCTGAAGTAGTGCTGTGGCTCAAGTGGTAGAGCACTAGCCTTGAGCCAAAGAAGCTCAGAGACAGAACTCAGGCCCTGAGTTTAAGCCCCATAACAGGAAAGAGAAAAAGGCATAGATACTACCTAGGAGGCAATTGAATATGTGGCCAAAATGGGATTGAATTAATACATTGACAAAAGTCACAGACTTGGCCAGGGGATAAAGACAAGAGCCACCCAGGATTTATAAATAGGTAGGATTTGGTCATCAATATTTTTTTTGTGTGTGATGCCGGAGATTGAAAAGCAAAAGTCCAAGATTTTTTTTTGTGCTGGTCCTAGTGCTTGAACTCAGGGCCTGGGTGCTATTCCTGATCTAAGTTTTTACTCAAAGTTAGCGCTCTAACACTTGAGACATAGCTTCACTTCCAGCTTTTATTTTTGGTAGTTAATTGGAGATGAGTCTCACCAGCTTTCCTGCTCCAGCTGTCGTCAAACCGTGATCCTTAAATCTGTCTCCTGAATAGGATAACAGATGTGAGCCACTGGTGCCTCGTTCGTGTGTGTGTGTGTGTGTGTGCGCGCGCGCGCTGGGTCTTGAACCCTTAGCTTTATCTTTTTTCTTTTTCTTTTGCTTAAGGCTGGTACTCTATCACTTGAGCTATAGTTCCACTTCCAGCTTTTTGTGGTTAATTGAACATGAGTCTCATGAAGTTTCCCATTTGGGCTAGCTTGGAACTGTGATCCTCAAATCTGAGCCTTCTGATGCTAAGATTACAGGCCTGACACACTGGTGCCTGGCAAAAGTCTCAAGATTCATAGATTTCTGGCTTTGGCAAATGATTAGATAATAGCTCCCAAGATAGGAAATCTACTAATTCAAGAAATAAATACTTATGTATGACTGTTTGAACGGAAGATCCCTACACTGAATATATCTTACTGTTTTAGACATTAAGAATGAAGAAAGCAATAGAGACCCAGAGAGAGAAAAAATACAAATATATCAGGGCAGTCTGTCATTAGCTCTGGGAAAGCACACAAGATAATGGTCATGTATAATTCCTGGAGCTATCCAAGAATTTAGAAACTTGGCATTGTTTCTGAAACTTGTTCTGCTTCTGGGGATTCTGGCCCAGCTACTACTTCTAGGAGAGAGTGTGGTGTTCTAGAAAGAGCCAGGGTTGGGCAACCAGACAGTCTGCTTTGGAATCTAGAAACTTTTATGTTTTTATTTTTTGCCAGTCCTGGGGTTTGAACTCAGGGCTTGGGCACTGTCTCTGACCTCCTTTTGCTCAAGGCTGGCACTCTATCACTTTAGCCACAGTGCCACTTCCGATTTTTTCTGTTTATGGGGTACTGAAAAATCAAACCCAGGGCTTCATGCATGTTAGGAAAGTACTCTACCATTAAACCACATTCCCAGCCCTCCAGAAACTTTCTGAGAACTGTTTCATCCCATGGAATGATTTTTTAAAAACCAGCAAAAAAGCCAGGCACCAGTGCCTATGCCTGTAATCTTAGCTACTCAGGAGGCTGAGATCTAAGTATTGCAGTTCAAAGCCAGCCCAGGTAAGAAAGTCCATGAGATCTTTTTTTAAAATACATTTTTATTGTAAAAATACTAGTCTATAGAGGGGTTACAGTTACATGACCAAGGTAATGAGCACATTTCCAATCAAGCATTGTTACCTCCTCCTTTGTTTTTCTACTACCATCCCTTCCCTCCCACCTCTACAACTATACCCCCCCCGCCCCGCCTAAATTGTGAAGTTCGTTTTTCAACACAGTGTCTTGTACATCTCATTGTTACAATGGGTCAATCTGTGTTCCTATTTAAGCATTTTGTTTTTTCACTTCCCCTCCCCAAATTAGAGAAGTGTATATATAAGATTCAGGGCACTGACATAAAATACAGTGAGACCAGGGGTTCTACCGTGGGGGAGGAACATACAAAGAAACAAAAAAAAAAGGTACATTATGAATACATTAGAAACAATAGCAAGAAAGAAAACATCATTTGTGTCCTTATCTTAGGGTTCATTTTGCTTAACATCATCTTATCTGGTCATATGTACATAGCTTTTGTTTAAAATAAGTTTTTATTGTGAAAATACTTTATGGAGGGGTTACAATTACATGAGCAAGGTAATAAGTACATTTCTTATCAAGCATTGTTGCCTCCTCCTTTGTTTTTCCCCTGTACATAGCTTTTGACCTTTTCTGCTTGTCCTAAACTTATACTAGGTATTGCAAATAAGGGAAGCCATGGGACCTATGTTTCTTTGGGCCTGGCTTACTTCACTTAATATAATTTGTTCCAAGTCTTTCCATTTCCTAACAAATGGGGCAATATCATTCTGATGGAGGAATAGAATTCATATATATATATATATATCACATTTCTTGATCCATTCTGGTAGCTTTAGTGTGGTCTTGTTTGTGATCATTTGGGTAAATGCCCAAAAATGGGATTGCTGGGTCATAGGGGATTTCTCTTTTCTTTTTTTTTGGTCCGGTTGTGGGGCCTGAACTCGGCCTGAGTGCTGTCCCTCAGCTCTTCAGCTCAAGGCTAGCACTCTACCACTTGAGCCACAGCGCCACTTCCGGCTTTTTTTTCTTTTTGCTTATATGGTGCTGAGGAATCGAACCCAGGGCCTTGAGCATGCAAGGGCAAGCGCTCTACCACTGAGCCAACTTCCCAGCCCTCATAGGGGATTTCTATGTGGAGTCTTTTGAGATAATCAAAACAGCTTGGTACTGGTACAAGAACAGACCTTAGGACCAATGAAATAGAATTGAAAACCCAAAAATGAACCCACAGACCTACAGCCACCTAATCTTCGATAAGGGAGCTAAAACAATAGAATGGAAGAAAGACAGCCTCTTCAGTAAATGGTGTTGGCAAAATTGGTTAACTAAAAACTAAAGCTAGATCCTTATATATCACCCTGCACAAGAATCAACTCCAAATGGATAAAAGACCTTGGAGTCAAAGCAGACACTCTGAAAACATTACAGGAAGGAATAGGAGAAAC